CTCATGGAGGATCCTGATGTGTTGAGTTTGAATGCCCTGTTTGGCTAGGGCTTCGATGACCACTTCTGTCTCAACAGAATCAGAGGCCTTCTTTAAATCAATGTACGTTAGACAGAGAGGCATCTAGGACTCCCGAGAAACCTCGTTGAGCTTGGTCACTATGTGGATATGGTCAATCGTGCTAAATCCTTTTCAGAAACCGGCTTGCTCACATGCTTGTCCTTCATCTAGTGTTCTGCCAATCCTATTCAGGATGACTCGAGTGAACAGCTTGTATATGATAGACAACAGGCAGATGGGGCGATAGTTGCCAATGTCGTGGATGTCTCCCTTGTACAGTAGAATGGTCCTGCTGGATTTCCATTGGGATGGAACCTTGCGTTCAGACAGGTAGCGTGTGAAGAGCTTGAGCCAGTGTATTGATGAGTACTGGCGGCAGATTCTTTAGGTGTTTGGGTCTGACCTTGTCTGGGCCTGGTGCTGTTCACTTCTTTACTGACGAAATGGTATGTTGGATTTCGGAAGGGAGAACATTGGGAATGATATATTCATCCTGCGGAATTTGGTATGTGGGCAGGTGGACGTGGTAATCAAAGAGATACAAGTAGAAGTCATGGATAATCTTCTCCATTGCCCTTCTGGAAGATGTGATAGATCCATCAGGACGTCAGAGGGCAGTCATCTTGGTCTTGTAGTTGGTGAAGGACAGGCGGGCGTTGCAAATGCTTTTCCTGGCTTCTGCTGTATTGGCCAGCACTGCTCCTCTTCTCTCTTTAAGGTCTTCCTTTATCACTTCTCTGCGCTGCTTTGCGAGATCGGGCATTAGCTTGTGGTTGCCTGAGGGTCACGTCCAGCTATGTTGGCAAATGAGGTAGAGAGAGAATTTTTGAAGACAGGCATCTTTTTGTGACTTTCTCTCCCCCAACATTCCTCGCACAATCATTGAGGTGCTGAACTGGTACAGTTAGACTAAAGAATTTTCTAAAATGACAAAGGCACAGAAAAGGAGTTGCTAACTAGTTCAAGAAACAATACTTACTTTAGGTATTGGATTCATGTAGATAAAATTGGCTCTTCAACAGTGACCTGATAAATTTATAAAAGAATTTAATGATTTCCTTCCTTCCTTCCTTCCTTCCTTCCTTCCTTCCTTCCTTCCTTCCTCCCTCCCTCCCTCCCTCCCTCCCTCCCTCCCTGCCTCCCTCCATCCCTCCTTCCTTCCTTCCTTCCTTCCTCCCATGCCTACCCCCCCTACACCCATTTCTCTCTGCTTCCTTCCCTCCCTTTCTAGTTGGTGTTTTTGCCATACCCTGACTCTGCTCAGGGGACCATATATAGTGCTGAGGATTGAACCTATGTTGGTCACATACAAGGCAAAATACCTTACCTATTGTACAGTCTCTTCATCCCCTAATAATTCTTTTATATAAGTGTTCCACATTATATGTATATAAAGTGAGCGAATTAATTTTCTTTATAATTTATTTAAGAAATCTGATTATTAACAAAAGCTGTTTTTTTTTGTTTTTTGTTTTTTCTTTTTGAGTCACACACGGTGATGCACAGGGGTTACTCTTGGCTCTGCACTCAGGAATTACTCCTGGCAGTGCTCAGGGGACCATATGGGATGCTGGGAATCTAACCTGGGTTGGCCGCATGCAAAGCAAACATCCTCCCCGTGTGCTATCGCTCCAGCCCCCAAATCACTTAGTCACTTAATTTCCCGTTAGTCGTCGATTTGCTCAAGCGGGCGCCAGTAATGTCTCCATTTGTCCCTGTCGCGTGCTAGTGTAGCCCAATGGCATCTGTTCGCTCTGGGAACATGAAGAGCCTCAAACTGATCATTCATGATCTTGACGAAGAAGTCTGACCATCTGGTAGGTGGACGGCCACACAGTCTTTTGACATCCCGTGGAATCCAGTCAGTAACAGCTCTAGTCCAGCGGTCGTCTTTAAATCTCATTACGTGACCAGCCCATCTGATTTTTGACACCTTGGCAAATGAGACAGCGTCCCTGATTCTTGATCGTCGACGGATGTCAGAACTCCGAATTCTTTCTCTCATTTGAGTGAAACGTGATATTCCAAGCATAGCTCTTTCTATTCTTCTTTGGGAGACCTGAATAACGTTCTCATCTTGTTTGCGTAGGGCCCAGGTCTCTGAGGCAAATGTTAATGCAGGAGGTGGTGTAATTGCCGACCATCTATCTTCACTCCCATTCCTTCCCATTCCAGTCGTCACATGATGTTCTCAGGGTGGCACTGAAGAGTTTCGGTGAAATGGTATCACCCTGCCGCACCCCTCTCTTGACATCAACGATCACTTCTTTGTAGAATGGTGAGATCCTGGTAGTGAATCCGCAATATAGCTCATGGAGGATCCTGATGTATTGGGTTTGAATGCCCTGATTGGCTAGGGATTCAATGACCGCTTCTGTCTCAACAGAGTCAAAGGCCTTCTTTAAATCAATGAACGTTAAACAGAGCGGCATCTTGAACTCCCGAGAAACCTCAATGAGCTTGGTTATCGTGTGGATATGGTCGATGGTGCTGAATCCTTTGCGGAACCCGGCTTGCTCGCATGGTTGTCCTTCATCTAGTGTTCTGCCAATCCTATTTAGGATGACTCGAGTGAACAACTTGTAGATGACAGACAATAGGCAGATCGGGCGATAGTTGCCAATGTCATGGATGTCTCCCTTCTTGAACAGTAGTACGGTCCTGCTGGTTTTCCATTGGGACGGAACCTTGCATTCAGACAGGTAGCGAGTGAAGAGCCGAGCCAGTGTATTGATGAGTACTGACGGCAGGTTCTTCAGGTGTTCAGGTCTGACCTTGTCTGGGCCGGGTGCTGTTTGTTTCTTTACTGACGAAATGGTGTGTCGGATTTTGGAAGGGAGAACGTTGGGAACGACATATCCATCCTGTGGAATTTGGTATGTCGGCAAGTGGACATGGCTATCGAAGAGATTTGAGTAGAAGTCATGGATAATCTTCTCCATTGCCATTCTGGAGGATGTAATTATTCTTTAATGCCTTTTGTCCATGGAGTCTCAGAATGTGTTTATGAGAAAAATATAGAATTAAAATTATATTACCTTATTAGTAGACATCAATGCATCAGTAACTGGCAGAAATAAATTCTACATGAAGAACATTATGGTTTTGTTAAATTAATAGTATATCAGTGTAATGTATAATTTTGAAGTAGTATGGTTTTAAAATTTTGACAGCTTCATAAATTAAAACAATTACCTTTTTTTGGGGGGGAATGTATGAAATAAAATAAGATTTTTTTTTTTCCTTTTTGGATCACACCTGGCGATGCTCAGGGGTTACTCCTGGCTCTGCGCTCAGGAATCACTCCTGGTGGTGCTCAGGGGACCATATGGGATGCTGAGAATCGAACCTGGGTCAACCGTGTGCAAGGCAAATTCCCAACCCGTTGTGCTATCGCTCCAGCCCCAAGATTCATTTTTGAACACAGGCTCTCTCTCAGGAAATTCTTTATGACAGAGAAAATTGCTGACTTATAACCTCAGTGTTATTCATGAGCATTGAATTATGTATATTTTAGAATTATAAAGCATTTTTCACTTGGATAATACTGACCAATTTTTTTTTGGTGGAGGGATGGTGCACCTGGTAATGCTCAGGGCTTACTCTTGGCTCTGCACTCCACAATTACTCCTGGCAGTGCTCAGGGGATCATATACGATGATGGGGATTGAACAGGGGTCTGCCATGTACAAGGCAAGCACCTTTCCTTCTGTGCTATTGCTCTGCCCTGGCCAAATATTCTTTTTTGACTTCTGATATAAAAATAAAAGTTAACTCCAATAGTAAATACATTTAGAATAGTATACTACTGAATATTGAATATAAATGATCTCTTCATGTTTGTCATTTACACGGATATTATAAGACAAGTAATGACAGATTAAGACCTGCCTAGCAGAGGGAAAACTAAATTACACGACTTTTATTAAGGCATAAATAAACCTATTAACCATTATCTTGAATACTAATTAGTAGAAAGAGCACTGACAATTTTATTTATCAACATTAAACACAATTATTAATTACAGACCTGATGAATCCAGCAGTAAGCAGGCCATGTTGGATATGCTGGGACCTTAAGTCCATTATATGAGAGGGATGATTACTGAAATCCTGTGGGGAAATAAGTAATTGTTGTTGTAAAATTTTAATTGCCTTGGAATAGGCAAATTATGTGTTCTTGTCTGACAATATAAATAGTATGACATTAAGGTAACAAGTCATGGTAGTTGTAACTAGAAAATGAATTTGTTAGGTTTTTTTAATCAAAGAGTGATGGTAAAATTTTAACATCTGTTGTTCTTTGTAAATGAAATCCTGTAGCACTGTAGCACTGTCCTCCCGTTCATTGATTTCCTCGAGCGGGCACCATTAATGCATCCAATTTATATATATATTGCTTAGTGCTGAGTAATTTATGCATTGTTTTCAGGTAAAGATTAACGTCAAGAGACTTTTAGAAAGGCAGCTCAGATAGAGAAGGGAGCACCAAATAAAGGGTGTTGGGAGGATCCTCCCAGGATGGGAGATGCGTACTGAGAGTAGACTATAGACTGAACATGATTTCCACTCAATGCCTCTTTTGCAAACCACAGCACCCAAAAGGAGAGAGAGAACAAAAGGGAATGCCCTGCCACAGAGGCAGGGTGGTATGGGGGGATGGGGGGTGGGAGGGGTACTTGGATCAGTGGTGGTGGAAAATGGGCACTGGTGGAGGGGTGGGTACTCAGTCATTGTATAGTTGAAACCCAAGCACAAAAATTTGTAAGTCTACACCTGTACCTCATGGTGTTTCACTAATAAAAATTAAAAAGAAAAGAGAGACTTTTTGAGTCATTGGGAATTATATAATTAAAAGACATTTTTCACTGTGTTGTGATTGGCAGTATTATGAAATGAGTAAGAAAATTCATGATTTTTCTCTCTTTTTTTATTTGAAGATCCAAATTCCAGAATTAGTGGACATTTACTCATAGGTGCAGCAAAGAATTCTTTTGCAAAACTCATGGATAAAATAAGTTTGGCAATGGAGAGCCTACCTCTGCAGAGTAGTAGAAGTATTACATATGTAGAAAAGGATTCCCTGGTTCAGCGGCTGGCCCGTGGACTTCATAAAGTAAACACAATGGCATTGAAATATGGCCTATCTGGGCATATGCCCCTTTTGGTATGTATGCAGTTTTATGAAATAGTGACTTTAGGACTTTTAAGTTTAATTCTGAATAGATTTGCTTGAAATTTAAATTAGATGTGCAGAAATGTATCTGGATTTCTGTCATCTTTTAGTGAAATAAATAAAAGGTACTCAAATAAGTGGTTTAAAAATGTGTTAATTTAATAATGTTTTTGGAGAAATACCCAGAGGTGCTCAGAGGCTGTTATGGCTCTGTGCTCAGGAGTAACCCCTATTAGTGCTCAGGAACCTATATGTGTTGCTAAGGGTTGAAGAGAGTGCTGTGTTCTAGACAAACACTTTATTCCCGTTATCTCCTCTGTCGACCCTACAAATATTTAAAATATCAAGATGCATGTGGCAGTGAGATAGTATAGCAAGTAGAAGGACACTTGCCTTGTATAGGACTGACCTGGTTTTGATTCCCATATGCTCCCTTGAGCACTGCTAGGAATGATCCCTGAGCTCAGAGCTAAGAGTAAATCCTGAGCCCCACAGAGCATGGCCCCCAAACAAAAACCAATCAGGATATAGAAGTCCAGATATAAGTTCTAAATTTGTTTGTATACGCAGCTCCAGAATTGTCTGAGACAAAAGCAGATGTTAATCTTATTTTTTAGCCATTTAGGTGATTTTTTTGTCTATTCACAATTAAATAAAAACATTGTCCATAGAACTTTATCTCTATGTTTTAGTAACAGTTGGTATGACCTACGTTATATGCTGATTGATAAAATAAGGATTGATATTGCTTTATTAGTAAATTTGTAATTAGTAATTGCGAAGTTCTTATTTCACAACAGAAAAGTACAGCATCTTTGCAGAAGCAAATACTTGGATTTACACAAAGACTACATGCTGCAGAAGTGGAGCGTCGCTCATTGCGCTTAGAGGTCACAGAATTCAAAAGAAATGCGAATGAAATGAAAAAGGAACTTGAAAAAGCTCAAGGGCTTCAAATGCAATTAAATGAATTTAAGCATTCTGTAAGTATTTATGAGTTTTTGCAAAACTATGACTTTCGTGAAGTCTTCTCTGATTACATATATTTATTTGTTTTTCTTAGATTTCTATTATATTTGTTTTTCTTCCTAACCAAGTCCCATTCAAAGGATTTCTTTTACTTCAGAATACTACACTGAAAATGCCCTAACATGTTGGGCATTTGACTGAAACCCAGTTTTATATGACTGAAATCCAGTCATGAACAACTTTGTAACTGTGTAGCTCACTGATTCAATTGAGAAAAATTTAAAAAGAGAAAAAGAATGTCCTAACATTACATACTTCAAAGTTGCTATGATGCAAGAATTTACACGATGATCTCACTGCAAAATAGAAATGATTACTTTATGTTACCCAGATGAATGCAATCTTTCTATTGTCTATCCCTCTTTTTCTGAGTCATTTCGCTTAACATGATACTTTCTATGTAGTACCACTTGTACGTAAATTTTATGACTTTGTCTTTTCTAACAGCTACATAGGAGACTAACACCCAAGAATGACCGAGATTAGTACCAGGAATTTTGCTCCATGGCTTGGAGGCCAGCCACACATGCTAGGGGAAAAGGGAGCTCAGATAGAGAAGGGAACACCAAATAAAGGTGTTGGGAGGATCCTCCCAGGATGGGAGAAGCATGCTGAAAGTAGACTATAGACCAAACATGATTGCCACTCAGTGCCTCTTTTGCAAACCACAAGACTCAATAGGAGAGACAGAACAAAAGGGAATGCCCTGCCACAGAGGCAGAGTGGGATGGGGGGAGGGGATGAGGGGGGGGAGGGATACTGGGATCCGTGGTGGTGGGAAATGGGCACAGGTGAGGGATGGGTATTTGATCACTGTATAATTGAAACCCAAGCACAAAAATTTGTAAGTCTACAACTGTACCTCATGGTGTCTCACTAATTAAAAAAAAATTTTTTTCCCTAGGTTTTAAAAAAACAGAAATAACTTATGTGACATGATGGAGATACTAACTAAGGTTGTGGTGGCAGTCATATTGTGACTTGTATAAATATATCATTGAGCAGCTTGTAAACCTTAAAGTTACAAAGAGTTAAATGCCAGTTAAGTCTTTCTTAAAAGAAAGTTATACCAGTTAAAGGAAGACTGATCTTGTGTCACTGAAACTCAAAACTTGATTCAAATGTGACTGAAACTGTGAAAAAAAGATTAGGGAGCAGTTAGGATAGCCTTTTATCTACTGTGAAAGTGGATAAACCCCAAAATATATAATGAAAACTAAAATGAAACTTACCTTGTGTTTAATAATACGTCTGGCATATCGAATACGTCACGGGGAGCTTGCCAGGCTCTGCCTGTGCTCGGGCACAGCGGTAGGGCGTTTGCTTGCACGCAGCCAACATGGCCGACCCTAGTTTGATTCCTCCGCCCCTCTCGGAGAGCCCGGCAAGCTACCGAGAGTATTCGATATGCCAGACACAGTAACAACAAAGTCTCCAATGGAGACGTTACTGGGCCCGCTCGAGCAAATGATCAATGGGATGATCAACGGGAGAGCCTTTACTTTTACTTACCTTGTATTTGAAATTGGATAAAATTTTCTTTTTTCTTTTTATATTGAACAGGTGTATATTTATATGTGTTTTAAGTATGTAGCTGAGTTGAGGTCTGGGTCAACACCAAAGATACTAGGCAAGAGGTCCATGGGGCTCAGGATTAAATCCAGGGCCTTGCACAGGCAAGCCTTATATTTTACCACTTGAACTATTTCTTGACCCCTGTTGAATATTTTAAGTAAATTTAATATATATATATATATATATATTAAGGACTGGTAATTTGCTTTTTTTTTTTTATTAGTGAAACACCATGAGGTACAGTTATAGATTTACAAATTTTTGTGTTTGGGTTTCAGTTATACAACGATCAAGTACCCATCCCTCCACCAGTGCCCATTTCCCACCACTACGGGTCCCAGTATCCCTCCCACCCCCCATCCCCCCCATCCCACCTTGCCTCTGTGTCAGGGCATTCCCTTTTGTTCTCTCTCTCTCTCCTTTTGGCATCTGTGGTCTGCAAGAGAGGCATTGAGTGGCAGAGTAAATTTAATATTAAATAAAATTGTTCTTCTAAAATTTTTACAATTTAACTTCTACAAAGGATTTATATGTATTTATGTAGCACTGTAGCAGTGTCCTCCTGTTGTTTATCGATTTGCTCGAGCAGGCACCAGTAATGTCTCCATTGTGAGACTCGTTGTTAATGTTTTGGCATATTGAATAAGACACGGATAGCTTGCCAGGCTCTTCCGTGCTGGCGGGATACTCTCGGTAGTTTGCCGGGCTCTCCGAGAGGGACGGAGGAATCGAACCTGGGTCAGCAGCGTACAAGGCAAACACCCTACCCAAAAGTCCTTATTTATACAAAACAGCACTAGATAAAGATCAAATGTGTAAATATATAGCATATAATAATATAAGCTATTCTTATTTTCTATTTATTCCTATGTTATTTCATTATTATCCTTAAATATTCTTGGGTTATTACATTATTGTTCTTAATGTAAATATATGAATATTGGATTGAAAGATTAGCTTAAAAACTGTCATGTAACAGATGATAGCTAATATAAATATTAATATAAAACTAGTTTTTGTCGTTTTGAAAAATGGTCCTGGGGATTACACCCAGTGCCCACTCATTACACCCACACATGCAAGAGAAGTACTCCAACCCTGTTGTTTACCTGGTCTTGAGTGTGTTTCTTAAGTCTAGTACTTTAACTACTTCCTTCTTCAGAAAAGAAGTTGTTTTGTAAGTTTAACTTAATTTAAAATGTTAAATAGTTAACTTGGAATTTTCAGTTTTAGTATCTGTGGATATAAAGTACCAGACAGTAATTTAGTTATTAGTTCTATAAAACAAATTCCATTATTATTAAAATTGTTTTTATTATTTCAATGGCTGGAGCGATAGCACAGCGGGTAGGGCGTTCGCCTTACAAGCGGCCAAGATGGCCGACCCGAGTTCGATTCCTCCGCCCCTCTCGGAGAGCCCGGCAAGCTACCGAGAGTATTGGATATGCCAGACACAGTAACAACAAAGTCTCCAATGGAGACGTTACTGGGCCCGCTCGAGCAAATCGATGATCAACGGGAGGGCCTTTACCTTTTACCTATTATTTCAAATAGCTGTTGAATAATTGTGAATTAGCCTTCTGATTGAAGATTCTAAATGACAAGAAAATTATTACTTGTAATTTAGTATCTAATGATACACACTTTTCCTAACTTATAAAGTTTTTTCCAGAGAAGGAAAATTTATGAACGACTTTAACTTTTTTTTTTTAGTTTTCAATATGTGGTATTCATAAATAAAAATACAAATAAGGAAATGAAGAAAATTCAAATTGCTCTAACTTCGAAACCAATCACTGTTGAACTGTGATTTGAGTTCTTCACATTTTTCTTTGGGCGTATGTGTATTGCTTGTCCTTATACACAGTTGTCACTGTCACTGTCACTGTCCTCCCGTTGTTCATCAATTTACTCGAGTGGGCCCAGTAACGTCTCCATCATGAGACTTGTTACTGTGTTTGGCATATCGAATACGTCACGGGGAGCTTGCCAGGCTTTGCTGTGTGGGCCAGATACTCTCCGTAGCTTGCTGGGCTCTCTAAGAGGGGCGAAGGAATCCAACCCTGCTCTGCCGGCCGGCTGCGTGTAAGGCAAACGCCCTCCTGCTGTGTAATACACAGTTTTAAGTGACATAAATGTTTTCCTGTCTTACATTATTTCACTTAAGATAAATGAATACAGTTGTTATCGTGTGGGTGTATGGAATTGCTCACCAGGGATTGCACACTTCATTGTGATGCTTGTACCAAGGTTGTACACTTGGCTGTAGTGCTCACTAGGGATTAAACTCTGGTTTTTTTTTTTTTTGCTTTTTGGGTCACACCTGCAATGCACAGGGGTTACTCCTGACTCTGCACCAGGAATCACCCCTGGTGGTGCTCAGGGGACCATATGGGAGGCTGGGAATCGAACCCGGGATGGCTGCGTGCAAGGCAAACACCCTACCCGCTGTGCTATTGCTCCAGCCCGGGATTACACTCTTGAATGTGATACTAACACATTTTTTGTGCATTGGAGATCTCACAGTCTGCCATGACTTGAGGGTCCCAGTGGCAGAGCCAGAGCCACTGCTTTAACACTCTGTGATGTGGGGTGGTGCTGGGCATCGAACTTGCAGTCGTATGGCTGCAAGGCTGGGCTACTTTTTGTTAGGGTGCTGCTTCTAAAATTTTCATTAGTATTGAGGATTGCATTGTATATATTTTTGAAAAGGCAAGTAATAGCAAATGACAGTTGCTTTGTGAGGGAGATAGCAAGAGAAGTTGGTGCCAAAATGAAAAGAGTGCTTTTTTATTATAATACAGAAAGACCTGTGTAATAAATTTATCTTCAGTCTTAGAAGTTGTGAAAGAGTGTTTTATTCTATGTGAACTGGTATACTTGCACTTCTTGGTTTCTAATGAAACTATAAGTACATTTCTGTTTTTGTGTCATTTGTCAGAAAACTCAGAGATAAAAGTATTTACATTTGACTTGAATAATTTATATATTATACATACCTAGAATCATAACATTTTTATTTCTTCCCTTAAAGAATTTGAATAAACATATTTAAACATATTGTATTTTTGTCATATATCAGACATTTATGCAACGTGTTTATATAGTCTTTGTGCAGGAATACAGTTCTGAAGATTAAATGAATAAAGGGCAGTTAGTTTTTTAACTGAATTTTTTTTTTTCCAGAAATTGATCACCCATGAGAAGTTTGAAAGTGCATGTGAAGAGCTGAATAATGCATTACTTCGGGAACAGCAAGCACAATTGCTGTTGAATGAACAAGCACAACAACTACAGGAGTTAAATTACAGACTTGAATTACATTCCAGGGAGGAAGCTGACAAAAACCAAACTCTTGGAGAAGCTGTAAAGGTAGAAACACGTCCTTTGCATAACCTGTTCTTCATTTACATTTGGATCTCTGAGGGACTAGACCCTGAATTGGAAATAGATCCAAAACATGAGATTTTGTTTTATAAAAAGTTATATGAATGGAATAACATATTTCTGAGTCGTGAATTCCGAGCATAATTTCACATGTATTTAAAATGTAAAAGTAGACTTTACTTGATAGTTGAAAAATAAGTGAAACATTTTCTAGTACTAATTTTTAAAATTTCTTTCACCTTGTTTCTTCCTATCTTTAGTTTGTGTGTGTGTGTGTGTGTGTGTGTGTGTGTGTGTGTGTGTATCTGACTGTACATGAAAATGTATGCAAACACACCCTGTGGATGTTAAAATTGTTTTCATCTTTTGGTTTGAAAGAGTTTAGGTCTGGCCTCTGTGATTCTTTTGTTTCGTTTTGTTTGGGGGGAGGGACACACTTGGTGGTGTTCAGGGCTTTTTCTCAGCTCTGTGCTTAGGAATTACTCCAGGAAGTGCTCAAGAGAATTAAAAAAATGATATAACCTAACATATCGGGAGTTATACTTTATACATTAAGCAACTCAGATATATATAATTTATTATATAAATATTACATATTTATTCTGAGTCTTGTCTTTTTTGTTTGTTTGTTTTTGGTCCATAACTGGTGGTGTTCAGGGTTTACTCCTGCCTCTGCATTTAGGGATCACTCCTATCAGGCTTGGTGGACTGTATTGGGTGTTGGGGATTAAACTAGTAGTGTTGGCCGCATGCAAGGCAAGTGCCCTACCAGCTATACTATCTCTCTAACCACACTGAGTCTGTTTTTTGACTTACACTTGGGGAGGGTGTACACCCAGCAGTGCTCAGGGCTTATTGTGCTCAGACATCATTCCTGGTGGTCTTGGGGGACAATGTGGTGATGCCAGGGTGATGTAGGCTAGCTGGTTACACGGCACACATCTTAACTGCTTTACTATCTCCAGTTATATATATGTATATGTATATACGTACACACAACACACACATATATCTTTGTGTTTGTGTATGAAATGGTAAAATAAAATTTAGAATTTAGCACAGCAGGTAGGGTATTTGCCTTGCACACGGCTGGTCCGATCGACCTGGGTTCAATTCGTCCACCCTTCTCGGAGAGCCCACCAAGCTACCGAGAGTATCTCGCCCGCACGGCAAAGCCTGGCAAGCTGCCCACGGCGTAATTAATATGCCAAAAACAGTAACAGCAAGTCTCACGATGGAGACATTACTGGGCCCGCTCGAGCAAATCGATGAATAATGGGAGGACAGTGCTACCATGCTACTGTTTGTTGGATGCTATGCTAGGTAAATTCTAAAAAGTTGGATAATCCTCATAAAACATTGTGGAATTTATTCTCTTTTTGTATATTAGAAAATTCAGATACAAAGATGTTACATAACTTATGTAGCAATTAATGATTGACCCACAAAGTCAGATTTCACAAACACTGTACTAATTATCACATGGTTTTTTTTTCTAAAAAAAAACTGGATCAACTAAGTAGACAAACCTTTATTTAGATTCCACTTATAACAAATCATAGCCATATTTATGTGTCCATACAGTAATGTATATTTAAAAACACTACATTTTAAATAAGAATTTTAATATAGACGCCAGCCGGCCACATTGGCTTAGCTGGGGAGTGAAGGGTGGGGGCGGGGTGGGGAGTGATCCAATATGTGCTCTGGAACTTAATGTCGAAACTTTGTAAAGAATATGTAAGGAAGTATAAGTTACTGCATAAGTTTACATATACAAATACAAATCTATCTCCATAGTACATTAATTTCTTCTCATGATGGCAGGCATTTGCAAATCTCGAAGAAATGTCCCCATCTCTTTAAAAACAGAATTCTGTACTATAGTCTCTACTTGAATTATCTTCATTTTTAAACTACCCCCGTGAAAATGGGGTATGGGGGAGATTCGCACCCATCGTCTTAAGGATTTACTCCTGGCTCTGGGCTTATCACTCCTGGTGGTGCTTAGAGGACTGTATGAAGTGCTAGGAATTGAACTGGCTTTGGTTGCACCTTTCTCCCTTAGTTATTTCTCTGGCCCAATTTCCTTTGTTTTCAGATGAAATCTAGAGTTCAGTTGATTTTCTCATTTCTTCTGGCCTGTACATAGGTATTATAAATGGAATTCATTATTTTTAATTAGAAAATAAATATTAAAGTGAAAAATAAAAACCGATAAGTTTAAAGAACATTGCAAAAGATTAAAACCATCTCTTAATACTGTTTTGGATTATATTTTCCCCATTGTATGTACTAAGTATTTAAAGTGACTATTTTTTCAGATACAAAAAATGCTGGGAATTTTGTACAGTTCAACTCAGTAGATATTTATTTTCCTACATAAATGCGTCCATACATATATGCTACTTTATAACTTGAGTCACTACCAGTTATAAACATTTTTAATTGACCAACTAATATGATAGAAACATTATGATATTAGTTGTTTTGTTTTTTCCCTTTTTGGAGGTGTGGGGCTCTCAAATAGTGCTCAGGCAACCCTGGGGCCACTCCTTGGCAAATTGGGTCAGGCAGTTCAATGCGAAACTGCTCAGTACCTGCAGTGTTGGGACCTTCAGGGCCTGGGGAGCCTGCAGGTGGTTTCAGGAACTATGGGGTTCCAGAACTTGAATTAGGTTCCTGATGATGCAAACGTGGCTCCTGGCCCCTGTAATCTTTCCTCAGCCCACTTTCTTTTTAGCTTGTGATAAATAGTAATATGAAAAAAATTAGAATACGTAAATGAAGTTAAAATAATCTGGTCATATCACCAAATATATCTACTGTTAAAATTGATGTATAATTTAAATTTTATACTTGCAACCAGAGATATCCATCTTAGTGTATATAGATAAAAATAAAATTGTACACCAAATGTACTTATTAAAGTTACTTTTCAAAAGCACCTTGTATAATAAACATAGTAGTGTTTGTTGTGCTAATTACTTGATAAAACTCATTCACTTAATTTCTTATTGCTATAGACTTAAGTTAATTTCAGTTTTTACTTTATCCTCTCTTGATACTAAAGGAAATTTTAAGAGGAATAATCCTACAGCTAAAGCTTTCTAATGTATTTATGATAATTTTTTTTCAGGAATTACTAGGTAAAAGCCACATACATTTTTAAAGTGTAAATATAATTAATTGACCTATTGTAACTTTCTTTTTTAAACCATTAAGTACTTTTTTTCTTAAAATATATGAGAATTGTATTTTTTGCCCAACCTGGATGTTATTTAAGATATTTCTGCCAGTTTGAGCAATGTTATTTATACTTTATGTGTCTTTGATAACTTTTCAACCAGTTTTTATAAGAATATTCACATTTTTATGCCTTATGTCTATTTGTATATAATGTAATTAAAACCATGATTTGTAAAAGCATATAACTGTCTTTTAATTCTATAATAGTGTGTAGTTTGTGTAGATATAGTATCTGCCAGTAGATAAAAAAGCTGTTCATATTAATTCCTTTAAAATGCCAGTGGCTTAAATATTGTTGTCAGGAGTGGAGAATTGTTTAATTACTATCTCTTAATTAGAACTAGCAGGTGGTAGTGTGAAAATGCTCTCTTGTGGGAGGCAACATGGTTCAGTTGAAAAAGCCCTGGCCTTGGAACAAGTATTCCCAAATTTAAATACTAGTTCTCTCATGAGCAAATTACTTAACCTTTCTGGGCCTCAGATTCCTCTTCTGCAAAAATAGGGATAATGATACTTGAGTTACATAATTTTTGAGAATTATTTAAGATACTATTTGAAAGACAAGTATATATTTAATATTCTTTTGTGGTTTTTCAGTAATACTTAAACAGGTTGTTTTTATATGCTCTTTATGTAACTTCTTTAAAAAATTTGGGCTTGGTGAGATAGTACAGTGGATGGAATGTTTGCCTTGCAAGTGACTGACCCAGGTTTGATCTCTGGCACCCTCTATGGTCCCTTGAGTCATGCCAGGAGTGATCCTAGAGATCAGAGCCAGGAGAAAGCCCTGAGCTCCAGATATCACTTAAAAAAATGAAATATATTACTACTTTTTCTGTCACTGTCACTGTCCTCCCGTTGTTCATCGATTTGCTCGAGCGGGCCCAGTAACATCTCCATTGGAGACTTTTGTTGTTACTGTGTTTGGCATATCGAATACATCATGGATAGCTTGCCAGGCTCTCGGTAGCTTGCTGGGCTCTCCGAGAGGGGCGGAGGAATCGAACTTGGGTCGGCCATGTTGGCTGCATGCAAGGCAAACGCCCTACCACTGTGCTATCGCTCCAGCCCTACTTCTTCTTTTTTTTTTTTTTCTTTTTTATTAGTGAAACACCATGAGGTACAGTTGTAGATTTACAAATTTTTGTGCTTGGATCTCGGTCATACCACGATCAAATACCCATCCCTCCACCAGTGCCCATTTTCCACCACCAGGATAATATCCCTCCCCCCCATCCTCCCATCCCCCCATCCCCCCCTGCCACTGTGGCAGGGCATTCCCCCCTGTTCTCTCTCTCCTCCTGGGCGCTGTGATCAGCCAAAGAGGCATTGAGTCAGCCCTACTTCTTCTTATAAAGAAAAAATAATATGAGTAAAACATGGAAAATATAGAAGAGAAAATGAGTTATTCATGATATCATCTGAAAACAACCACTGTTAAAAGTTTGGCATTTTTAAAAATCATTTTGCTGTATGTGATAGTTCTATACATCATACATTGGACTCAGAACAGCCTTCCCTTTAGTCCATCTTGATTTTAGATAAGACACACAATGCATTACAAGTTTGAAATAAAGAATAAGGAAATATTTTCCCCTTGGATTTTGGGCCACACCTGGTGATGCTCAGGGGTTACTCCTGGCTTTGTGTTTAGGAATGAGTACTCCTGATGGTGCTCAGAGGACCATATAGGATGCTGGTGATCAAACCCGGGCAGGCCCCATGCAAGGCAAGCA